TATACGGCGCCCCTGGAGCAGTTGGGGTTCAGGGCCTCGCTCAGGGGCCCCAACGGAGTAGGATTCCTCTGCCGGCTGCAGGATACGAACCGGCAACCTTCCGGTCACAGAGCCACCGCACCGCCCCTGTTGCTGTTATTGTTTCGAAAGTCTGCGTTATTGAAGTACCGCTATACCCACTAATTAGTCTAATTACCTCCCCAGGAGCCTGCCGCTGATGGTACAGCCAGCTGACGCCTGGATATCGCCAGCTCTGTCTCCGCCGGTCGGCTTCCACTCCTATAGCAATGTTCATCCCTTTTCACTTCCTGTCGAATCTCCTGCATTTCAGAACCTCCCACCTTCTCTTGAGTGAATGTACGTCGGCGGACCTTAATCGAAATCGAAAAAACAGATTTGCCTTGGTGTTGTTGGGGCCATTTGATAACGTGCCCTTAGCGCGGCGAAATTGAACAGATTATTGTACCAGTCTTGATGGCTGCCTTGCACGTTTATATTGTAACATATTTATCATCTTTCGGGTGAAATCACCTTAAGTAAACTTCAACCGAGTGTGGTGTGCAGGTTTTACAACTTTGGGTCAAAACTGTTGGGTAACGCTCTTCTTTTAATGGATTAAACATTTTACGCTTCTCCAACTCCGCCTCTTCGTGTGTCGGAGGATGAACCGCGTCTTGACTGCGTGTCTCTCGCTGTCCGCTGGAGGGCGCTCCGCGCTGAGGACTCGGGAGCCGAGCGCTTGACTTGCAGCCCTGCTCAGGCCTGACGGCGGTTTGTTTTCTTAACCCTTCCGTCGGGTCTGGCCTGTTCGTGCCTCTTGCTCCTCAATCCGAGCTGGCTGTAGGACCAGACACGTTAATATGTTACTAATTCCAGAAGGACAGACCTCAAGTTGGGGATCACACAGCCGGCACGTACCTTCGTTTCGATTCAGCCCAGCGGCATCAATCTCAGACTCAGCAGTTAAATACGTTTATTTTTAGAGTAGATTTATGTTTTTTATGATGTATTTAGAGAGATACGTGCATCACACCTTCTGTAAATTGAAAGGGAACGGGTGGACGTTTGTTCCCTGCTGAAAAGAAAGGCTGCACAGCTGAAACGTATCTCTTCAAAAGGGACTAAACCTCTACCTGTTCCTCGCGCATTCAGCTTGAGTTCTGTAAATGGAGCCGACGACACACAAAAACGAGGGCACAAACAAAAATCCACAACAGAAACACAAATGCGTGCACAAACCCCAAAAAAATGCACAACAAAAAAACCTACACAACAAAAAAACGAGTGCACAAACCAAAACAGACTGCAAAACAAAAAACCTACACAACACCAAAACGAGTGCACAAGCAAAAGAAATGACAACACAAACACAAATCGACAACAGAAACAGAAATGAGTGCACAAACCAAAAACGACTGCACAACAACAAAAAAACCTACACAACACCAAAACGAGCGCACAAACAAAAAAGTAACAGCACAAAATTCAGTGCACAAAAAA